TAGCAGGAGGCAGTTTGTTCGCTGAAGGGCTGGACAGCGATACAATAATGATGTCTGCAGTGAAGCATGGTGCAGGTTCCTTGTAAGTTTGGGGTTGCATTTCTGCAAAAGGAGTTGGATATTTGGTCAGGGTCAATGGTGTCCTCAATGCTGAGAAATAAAGGCAGATACTTATTTATCATGCCATACCATCAGGGAAGCATTTTATTGGCCCCAAACGTATTCTGCAGCAGAACAATAACCCCAAACATAAATTTTATAGCGCTGCATTTATTGATTAGTTTTATGAGAATGTTCAGAGGTTTTGCCTTTATGCCAGCTGCTTAAAATTGAAATCCCTAGCGCTCGTATACCCATTTACATTATACAGCCAATGTCATTAAGAACAGTCTTCAATGTAATGAAAGGCAAGGAGTCCTGGAAGTGATGGTTTTGCTCTCACAGAGCCCTGATCTCAACATCATTAAGTCTGTCTGAGATTACATGAAGAGACAGAGGGATTTGAGGCAGTCTACATCCAGAGAAGGTCTGTGGTTAGTTCTTCAAGATGTTTGGAACAACCTACCTGCAGAGTTCTTTTAAAAACTGTGTGCAAGTGTACCTAGAAGATGTGCAAGTGTACCTAGAAAAATGAATGCTGGTTTGAAGGAAAAAGGGAGTCATGCAAAATATTGATTTGATTTGGATTTCTCTTCTGTTCATTTACTTTCCATTTTGTTAACTGATAAAAAACTATTAACACTTTTATTTTTGAAAGCATGTACAGCATTTTTTCACATCTGCCTAAAACTTTTGCACAGTACTGTGCCTTACTGATAATATACATGAGAAAATCTTGGCTAGCATAGTAATTTCTTCATGCAGCATGCATGGACAGGAAGTGGAATGAAATCTCCCTAATGGAACACAGACAAAAAAAATAGGATAGGGGTTATAAACTTCACTTTCTCTATCCAAAACAAAGAAAAAGTGTTGCCCTTAGTTACACTTTAACTACAGTATCCTTTGGTGTGTGTGTGCGGGGGGGAGTGGGGGCTAGTTTTATCCCAGAATGCTCTGGAGTGCTTTGTACAGGTTTAGTGCAGGACTTTTTGATTGCTTTAAGTCCACCTCACCAAAACTGGTCAGGGTATACTGGCCTGTTGGTCCCCATTCTTTGCTTCATCTTCATAGAAGCCATAGCATAGTTTGCACTGATGAAACCCAACATCCAGATATCATCTGTTTTAAGAAGGCTGTACTGTGCTTCATACTGCTTTTGATTTTTGGTTACCTTCAACTCATCACATCATAAAATATCTGTCTAAAATGCATAATTGAGTGGTATGAAACCAGTATGAAAACTGGTCAGGGTATACTGTCCTGTTGGTCCCCATTCCCTGCTTCATAGAAGCCATACCTTCACTGATGATACCCAACATCCAGATATCATCTGTTTTAAGAAGGCTGTACTGTGCTTCATACTGCTTTTGCTTTTTGGTTACCTTCAACTCATCACATCATAAAATATCTGTCTAAAATGCATAATTGAGTGTTATGAGTGTTTTTTGCTACACGTACAAATTAGCTTCACTTAATACATCCTATTTCATGTAGGATTGGCAGATATAGCTTAATTACACTACTATTTCTACCTAAAAAAAATATTCACTCTATAGCAAGTAAGGCTTGAATCTCAAAAGTAAAATCTGTATTCCACAGACTTATTTGGCTGACAAGGCAAAGGAGCAGAGCAAGGAAGAGTAACATAGCAGTAATATTGCTTTTTTTACCCTTTTATCTTAATTTGTTTGGAGAAAAATCACAATTTTTTTTTTACATCAGAAAAGCAAACTAAAACTTTAGCAGAAATGTCCTCTTGTGTACTTTAAAGTGAAAGGATATGTCACTAAATGTTACCTTATATTTGATCTAGATTGAATGCAAAAAAGGAAAAAAGGCAAGAATAAAATGTTGGCATTTACAGTATGCATACACTTTACTTACATGTAAAGGATCATGTACATGGGGTGTTTGGAAAAGTCTTCTGAACGATGGAATACGTAGGCTAAAAAATGTCAGTTTAGCTCCGTTTGCATACCGTGTTTATGTGTGTTTTTGCGTTTAGAAGCATTTTTAAAAGATAACCTATTTTAGACATTTTGAGAGAAATAGAGAGAGCAGAAGCAGAGAGAGCAGTATGTGTGGAGATGACCTGTCTTTTCTGGTTGTATTCACTATGGATCCCATCATGAGCATAATGCAGCACATTCTACCATTTTTTCCTTCACGCAAAACCTGGAACTGACTGCTCTGGTGTACCGGGTCCATTTGAACACATAGAAAATGCTTTGCGTGCATTTCTGATGATGAAAAAAGGCTCTGAACAGCATCTGGACATGGAACAGTTAAAAAATGCTTCTAAACACAAACACAGTTAACCGCGTTTACAAGCGTTTGCCGTTTGAAACGCCTGTAAATTATACTCCTGAACGCAAGTTTGGTGCGTTCAAAAAAATGACTGTAAACTCAACTGCCTGTAATCGACTTTGTGTACATGGACACTTAGGAAAACATAAAGGAGAGTTCAGGGGCTGCTGAAAAAAACGCTGAACAGCTCCTGAACGTCAGTTTAGGAGCTGCAGTGTACATGAGCCCTAAGGATGTCTGTGACGGTTCTAGCTGAAGGACTGAGTGCAAACATTTCCCCCTTTTCGGTTGAGATTCAAGATAATTGCAGTCTATGCCTTCCTTTGTAAAAATTGTGTTGTAGAACATCTTAATTCAGTTGTCTTGGAAAGGAAAAAAATATAAATTTTTGGGAATTCAGCAGGTTGCTACCCCAAACTTATTCTCCCTACAGAAGGCTGTTTTTACTTTACAGAGGATGGAACGGGGCGAGAGTAATACCTGTTATTCTTCAAAGACTTTTAACCTGGTTGTAGGTATAATTATATTTTTCATACATTAAAAGGTGGAAATATAACAAAGGTTATAAAGATATTCCAAAAAGTTCTCGCTGGTTCTCATGATTTATTTAATCTACAGTGAAGTTAATGTGAGCAGTACAATCTGAGAAATTGAAAAGTTGAAATTAATTAGGAAGGTGGTGCAAAAATAGATGGCAGGGCTTTGGAATAGCAATCATAATTTTATCAGCATGAGCTTTTTCAGCTCATATGTTCCTAAAAAAGTATTTCTATTTCAAAAAGCAGACATGCACTCATACACTGTATTATTTATTCTGTACATGTATAGTAACACCATTACCTGTTAGTACCTATTATTCTAAAACTAACATTACAAATGAACACCAGGCAATGACATGGCTTAAAGTGTTACTAAGCCCACAACAGTAAAATCAGTCTGTATATGCAGTAAAGCATGCTTGTTACACTCACTGTGGAACCTAAGGGGGTAATCTTCCGCATTGTGTAAAAAGGATGTTTGATCCTGGCTTCTCTGATCCTCCCCTTCTTCTACTGTCCCCAGTCCATATGCTGAGCCGTGGAGGCAAGCTGAACATGCTCAGTTTGGTGTGTATTGCTAGAGAGGTTTTTTTTTTTTTTTTGGAGATTGCATTGGATTAGTACAGGGCCAATTAGCACTGTCCAGACAGAGGGTCAGGGGTTATGCAGCCTCATAAAACAATCGGGAGAATGAAAACTTCTCCTACAAACTGTCACCAGTACTCTGCTGGACACTGATAGAAGTCACAAGACTGTTCTAACTGCTGATGAGAAAAAGTATTTAGCCATATATATTTACTAAAATAATAAAGTAATTGCATTTCCATCTTATGTGTACTATGCGAGACTAGCTATAGTGAATGTAGGGTCCTGGGTTTAGTAACACTCTAAGAATATATTACTGCTTTGTCTCTTCTTAAGACTTTGTTAAGGGCCCATATTGCATTGTTCGTTGGAATGGGGGCAGTGCCAAACTTTCCAAAGTTAGAATTTGCTTGCTCTGCTGAAACAGTTGCTCAGCCATTGATAATGGTCATTGGGCCATTATTAAATGCCCTGCATTGCCACAGTGTTAAAGTGGAACTGCATCCCCTCCCCATTTTTTATTCTTTTACCCCCACTTACAGGGAGGTGGTATCTACACATTTCAGATACTCACCCATCCAGCCTTGTCCCGCTAGAATCTTCTCATGCCCTGCCACTGCTTGGACCCCATTTCTGACATCATTGAGAAGCCTGCCAGCTCTTCCAGTTTCAGCCCCCCTGGCCTCCCAATGATGAGCCAATAGGTCCTCTCCCCCTCTTACTCTGAGAATGAAGAAGTAAGGCCCTGCCACATATCCCAGGAGGCACAGCAGACACAGTGCTCATCATTCATCTAGGCGCATGAGAAGGGCAGAGCCAGAGCACCCCTAAAAATTCACATAGCACCTCCATAACACACCCCAACAGCAGCCATCTCAGGCCCCTCCGGGAAGATATCCAGGCTGAGCTCAAGTCTCCTGCTTGGCATGATAAGTGAAGGCAGACCTGGCTCCTGATAGCAGTGACTCTCCCACCCCCCAGCTAGCCTCTGTGTGTTCACCAGTGACATTGCTAGAGGGGGGCAACTGCCCCTCCCCCCTCAAGTTATTCCTTGCCCCCTCGTGTGTCCCTGTCCCGATGCTGAAATGCTTGTAAATCTTATAAGGCCATTTTCACACACAGTGTGGTGGCTAGCATTTTTACCAAACTGGAAGAGTACCAATCACCACAAGGACACACTTGTAACATGCTTGCAGTCTCTTATCTCCTGCAGTATGTCTGCAGTCTCTGACCATCTCCTGTACTATGTTTGCAGTCTCTGACCATCTCCTGTACTATGTTTGCAGTCTCTGACCATCTCCTGTAGTATGTCTGCAGTATCTGATCATCTCCTGTACTATGCCTGCAGTATCTGATCATCTCCTGTAGTCTGCAGTCTCTGATCATCTGTAGTATGACCATCTCCTGCATGTCTGCAGTGATCATCTCCTGTACTATGTTTGCAGTCTCTGACCATCTCCTGTAGTATGTCTGCAGTATCTGATCATCTCCTGTACTGTGCCTGCAGTATCTGATCATCTCCTGTAGTATGTCTGCAGTCTCTGATCATCTCCTGTACTATGTCTGCCGTCTCTGACCATCTCCTGCAGTATGTCTGCAGTCTCTGATCATCTCCTGTACTATGTCTGCAGTCTCTTGTCATCTCCTGTACTATGTCTGCAGTATCTGATCATCTCCTGTACTGTGCCTGCAGTATCTGATCATCTCCTGTAGTATGTCTGCAGTCTCTGATCATCTCCTGTACTATGTCTGCCGTCTCTGACCATCTCCTGCAGTATGTCTGCAGTCTCTGATCATCTCCTGTACTATGTCCGCAGTCTCTGGTCATCTCCTGTACTATGTCTGCAGTCTCTGATCATCTCCTGTACTATGTCCAGTCTCTGATCATCTCCTGTACTATGTCCCGCAGTCTCTGGTCATCTCCTGTACTATGTCTGCAGTCTCTGATCATGTCTTGTACTATGTTTGCAGTCTCTGACCATCTCCTGCAGTATGTCTGCAGTCTCTGATCATCTCTTGTACAATGTCCGCAGTCTCTGGTCATCTCCTGTACTATGTCCGCAGTCTCTGGTCTGTGCTATGTCCGCATCTCTGATCATCTCCTGTGCTATGTCTGCAGTCTCTGATCTCTCCTGTATCTGCAGTCTGATATCTCCTGTACTATGTCTGCAGTCTCTGATCATCTCCTGTACTGTGTCTGCAGTCTCTGGTCATCTCCTGTAGTATGCCTGCAGTCTATGACCATCTCCTGTAGTAGGTCTGCAGTCCCTCAAAATTTCAGCAGTTGACCATCACTGGTATGAAGTAATGGCCAATACCCCCCCCCCCCCCCAACAAGAATAAAAAAAGAGACCCCCATCATAGCCAGTGTCTTCTCATTCATAATGAAGTAAGTAGGAAGTGGCTGGCTGTGTACCATTGGTACATGGTACTTAGTGCTAATAGTTACACACACACAAACACACAGGGTCTGTTCATTGGTCTTCATTCGTGACATATTTAACATAGGGAATGATTTACTCAGCCCTGGTGTTTTCTGAAATAGCTTTAAACTATAAAGAAAAGCATTTGAGAGTTTTCCTCTCTTTCGGGTCTGAAGCAATACCTGAGAAAGAAAGGAAAACTCTTGAAAGCTTGTCTTTTAAGTGTTAGGTTATAGTACAATAAAAGGATATCATTGCATTACTCTCATATTTTGTAATCTTATTTATACACTGTATACTTGTTTCGTTTTTTCAGTAGTATGATTCAGACCCCGGTCACATTGGGTGCGACTTGGCATGCGATTTGCATGCCATTCAACTTGCAAATTGCATGGCAAATCGCACCCTATTGTCCGCAATTACATATCGATGCAATTCTGACTTGGTCTGAGATGCACGATTTCTAAAGTAGTACATGCACTACTTTTCGTGTGATTTCCATAGACATCTATGTCAGATGTCTTGCAAATCGCACCTGAAATCGGCATGTCCCCCGATTTGAAACCGTGCGACTTCACTGTAAGTCGCACAATTTCAAAGTTGGGCTGTATGTGACCGGGGTGTAAGTGGTGAAAATTATTAGTACCCCCAGTTTTGACTCTGATATCTTATGTGCCCCCTATATATTGTTCCTAGAGTTGCCACTGGTGTTCACTGAGCAGGTCTCCAACTGGTCTCCATACTGTGGTGGAGAAGCATATTGTTATATATTTGTGGTGGAGCTGCATACTGTTATATATTTGTGGTGGAGCGGCATACTGTTATATATTTGTGGTGGAGCGGCATACTGTTATATATTATCAGACTGGATGTCGCTCCACTTCCTTAAATTGAACCTCTCCAAAACCGAGTTTCTTGTCTTCCCCCCAGCCCGGACACCACCCCCCATTGATTTCTCCGTCACATCCAACAACGCTACCATCAAACCCGCCCTGCAGGCCAGAGTACTGGGTGTCATTCTGGACTCCAACCTATCCTTCCAGCCCCAAGTCCAATCTTTAACAAACTCGTGCAGACTCCACCTCCGCAACATCGCCAAAATCCGCACGTTCCTAACCCCAGAAACCACTAAACAGCTCATCCACTCCCTCATCATATCACGACTCGACTACTGCAACTCCCCTCCTCACTGGCCTGCCTCGCCGCTGGCTATCCCCTCTTCAGTCCATCCTGAACACGGCTGCCAGACTCATTCACCTTTCCAACCGCTCTGTCTCCGCCACCCCCCTCTGCCAATCCCTCCACTGGCTTCCGATTGCGCAACGGATCAAATTTCCTAACGCTGACGTACAAAGCTGTCCACCATACTGCCCCGAACTACATCACTGACCTAATATCCAACTACCGCCCAGCACGCACACTCCGCTCCTCACAGGACCTCCTTCTCTCTAGTTCCCTGGTCTCCTCCTCCCATTGCCCGCCTCCAGGACTTCTCCAGGGTGTCACCCATCCTCTGGAACTCCCTGCCCCCAACCCATCAGATTATCACCTACTCTCCTCTCCTTTAGGCGCACCCTGAAAACCCATCTCTTCAGGGAAGCCTACACCCCCCTGCTAACTTGCCTCCCTCCTCCACTCTTCCTACCACTGGTCCCCCACAGCTATCTCCTCCTGTGCCACCACCCCCCCTCCCTCCTAGATTGTAAGCTCGAAAGAGCAGGCCCTTGATCCCCTCATGTTTTGCATTGTATTGGTATTGTTCTGTCACATGTTCCGTCTCCCTTTGTAATGTACAGCGCTGAGCGAACTATTGGCGCTTTATAAATACTGTATAATAATAATAATAATAATATTTGTGGTGGAGCGGCATACTGTTGTATATTTGTGGTGGAGCGGCATACTGTTGTATATTGGTGGTGGAGCGGCATACTGTTGTATATTTGTGGTGGAGCGGCATACTGTTGTATATTGCTGGTGGAGCGGCATACTGTTATATATTTGTGGTGGAGCGGCATACTGTTGTATATTTGTGGTGGAGCGGCATACTGTTGTATATTTGTGGTGGAGCGGCATATTGTTATATATTTGTGGTGGAGCGGCATACTGTTATATAATTGTGGTGGAGCAACACCCATGCACCATAGTGAGAGTCTGTATTTAACGTTTCCTAGCTAATAAGCAAAGACAGAGTGGTGTCGGGTACCTATCTGTGGTCTGCAGAGTACTGCCACTCCTGATATCTAGTCTATAGTACTCACAGGCTGCTGGGACTCAGGGCTGCCAGTACTGCCATCATTGGTAGATTGATGTGAGAAGAGTTGGGGCTTGTGGTGCAAAGGGGACGTGGTCTGGAAGAGCTCATGGCATTGGCATGGGACAGAGTGCTTGACTACGTGGCCTGTTTTTAGTGTGTGACTGAGTTTTTAGACGGTTCTCTGGCTTCTTTGCCGCTGTTGAATTACTATACTTAACTACCCCACTGACTTGAAGTATTGCTGGCTCTGACACCTTGCAAGGGGATGTCATTGTTGACCCCAGTGGAGCTTATTTTATGTCCTCAATCCCTTCAGTGTACATCCAGGCCTTATTTATTCTATACAAAAGGGGAAAGGTGACACACTACAAGCTATAGACCAGGAAGAAACATGTTTGGCCACTCTACACTATGTGTGCCACATCAGCTCCCCCACTTATGCTTCCAGCACCTGCACAGCACCCCCAAAAAATTTGGTCTGAAGCCGCCCTTGGTGAATGATGGTATTGGAGACGCATCCAAACCCTTTTTCTAAAAAAAAGGGTACAAAAAAAAGCCACTACGGGGAGGAGGGGTGGGCAAGAGGCACTTTCAATTTATGCTAGGTTCACACCTAAGAGTTTTCCGCAGTCCATTTTACATGATTTCCTATGGGACACATTCACATCTCCGCGTTTTTGCTCGGTGCGTTTTTTGGAAAGGGCAAGGGACTTTTTTTAAACGGAAAAAGTTGCAATTTTGGTTCAATAGACTTCAATGAAAACACTGCAGAACAGCATGTAGTGCATTTTTGCTGCGTTTTTGATGCGCTTTTGCTGCGTTTTGCATGTTAAATCTGGCTAGCAACAAGAAAAAAATGCATCAAAAACATATCAAAAACGCAGGTACAATAACACAAAACGCAATGCAGAAACAGGTCAAACGCAAACTGCATAGGTGTGAACCTAGCCTTACGGCTGACGATCTGCTTTACCTGCTGAGCTACACTACCTCTATTATGCGGAGTAAGTAAAAAATGTCCACATAAAGAATAAAAGCACTTTATGAAAATAAAGGAAATCAGTCACAAAAATGAGTTTTGGCTGTTGGTAAGGGATAAATAATATATAACACCACCAGTTAAATTCAGTAAGAAGATAAGATGAAGCCATCTAACTTAGCATGTAAGCTGGTGCATTTCAAGTGTAGAAGCTCTGTAGAAACTGCTGCAATTTTTTCACCTTTTCACGTCGCTGAACTTTATTTTATTGCATATGTGATCGATAAAAACCTATTAAGTGAAAATGATTTGCTCGTATCATCTGTGAAGGGCTCTGTTATTTTGGCTTTCTCCCTCTTTTTTAAAGATCACACCGTGACTGTTTGTTTATTAATTAACCTGTCATGTGTCTTCACTTCATAGGTATCTTTTAATGTTTTGCATTTGCATGCATGGAAGTGTAAATTAATTTAACGGTTTGTAAGAACAGGCAGAGAGGAATGTATTCAATTACTAAACGGTTTGGACAAGCGAACAACATTCAAACAGTAGTGTTTTTGATAAGCCAAGACTGCATTCCAGAAAATAATATTAACTGGTTTTAAGTCTTCACTGATTTTTTTTTTCTTTTTTTAGGAAAACAGTAAAGAAAATGGCATTTGAAACAGGCAGGGAAGCTAATTGAACATTTGAAACATTTGCCCTGTGCTAATGCAAATGAATTCACATACAAATGTGCTGTTATAACACTTCCTCATAATGTGCTTTCAGAATTTCTAATGTGGCAGGCAGCCACATAATGAACCATTTACCCTTTATTAAGTGTGGGTCCAGGGCATTACTATACATCACAGTGCCAAAGCAAATGTTTTAAAGGGTCAGTTCACCTTTAATGACATTTGTAAAAAAAAAAATCCCATATGTATTACAGCTTTAGGTGCACATTTACACCCCGGTCACATCAAAGCCCAATTTTGAATCCTGTGACTTACAGTCGCATGATTTCAAAGTTGGGTGACTTGCCGATTTGAGGTGTGATTTGCAAGACATCTGACACAGATGTCTATGCAAATCGCACCAAAAGTAGTGCATGTACTACCTTAGAAATCGGTGTGGCTCCAACCAAATCGGAAGTGCACCAATATGACTGCTCTAATAGTGGACAGTAGGGTGCGACTTGGCATATGATTTGC